TACCCCTCCGTCTCATCTTGCCTGGTATTCAGTTTTGTCATCTAACGTATCGCAAGATATGTTGGTCATTCCATGAAGTTCGGGAACTTTTTATGTATAAAATAGAGCTGACCATTGGTTAACTCAAGCGATTCCAGAAGCTGGCACCCTATTTTATAAGTACTTAATTTTAACAACCACTGAAAAGCATGCAATCAAAAACCCAGCATTGAACCAAGAACATAATGGTCGAACTATTCTCAGAACGTCTGTAGGCCTAACCATAACCCCCTTGGATGTGTGTAAATTCATATTAAAATTGGGGGATTGAGAAAGGTTACTGTGGGTAACATTCAACACCGGCCGGCAAATCACGGTCTTCCAAAAATAGTTGAACCTTGTTGGTCTCGTTACCCATTCTATTGATTCACCGCCAATGCATTGATTGAGACAGTTCATCACCTTTTGCTGCTTGGCGGACCAAACAAGGGAGACCGACTGAGGAAGCCGACTGAAGAAGTCGACTGCATCGTGTCACTCCGTTTAATCCCTCATTATGCGATTTTTCAATAAGCGAAGAGTGACTGGGTGACTGACACATTCGGTAAAGCTTTGTGGAAAATTCTCGCTGAGTTGAAAAGCACATCAAAAGTCACACATTAATGTGCCATCACCCTATTCCACCCTGCATTAACCTAATTCTGCCCTTGCTATTGGCGCTTATTTGCACCCCTGCAGGGAATATTGAGTGGAGTAATCTGTAGCGTGTTAAAGGGTAAAATAAAAACATATATGAAAACACGGCCCCAAATGGGCCCCATGTTGCCATATGAAACAACAGGTGTAATTTTTGGTTTTCGATTTCGCCTTTTTTTCCTTCTTTCCCCCCCCCTCTTTTTTTGACGCCCCCAAATGTGGCACCCGGGGCTCATGTCCCCCTTGCTACCCTCCGTAGATACGCCACTATTTCTATCTGCCATGATCTGCCCACTGCGTCCTTTCTGCAGACCTCGGTTACATACCCAAATATTAATGCAACGGAGGGTTCGAAGTTGTTGATCCTGAGGGTATGTTGGATGTACAAATAACCTAATCAGACAGTGGACGTAGGAAGCATTTGAATAAGTAAGCGATTAGTGGTGATGTCCAAATATCCATTACCGTCCGTGAGTCGTTCGTCCGTAAGAAGCATTTTTTTAAATACATTGGGCCGGCCATATTTGCTTGATGTTCCTAGGGGGCGAGTCGGTCAGGGGGCGAGTCGGTCAGGGGGAGAGTCGGCCATGGGGCGAGTTGGTAAGAGGCGAGTCGGTCAGGGGGCGAGTTTACGAGGGGGCGAGTTGGAAGGGGCGAGTCGGTCAGGGGGCGAGTTGACCTGACACCCATTATAGTTATACGTGTATGAGAAACATAAGCCTGTTATTGCGCTCGAACTGCAGAAACATAACCCGCGAGTATGGAACGCCAAAGAGGCAAAAAACTGGGAGGCAACACATCGATCGTTCTTCAACATCGATCGATCGTTCCCCTACATCGATCGATCGTTCCCCTACATCGATCGATCGTTCCCCTACACCGATCGATCGTTCCCCTACATCGATCGATCGTTCTTCTACATCGATCGATCGATCTCTTTTGATCGATGAAGGAAGAGCGATGAAAAAAGATCGATGAAGAAAGAGTGATGAAAAAAGATCGACGAAGAAAGACCGATGAAGAAAGACCGATGACGAAAGACCGATGACGAAAGACCGATGAC